AAACCAAAGACACGACAGATAAAATATGACAAACTAGCATCAATCCAATTTTATTGAAACTAGTTATGGCAGCTTACTCACTACTCTGCCAAATCGATTTTACTATAACTATTCGTGGATACAATGTAAATTCATCTTTGTGTAGATTTTTAAGTCGAATCAATAAGCCATTTGAGAATCGCGTCTGCCTACGTGAAACTAGTTATGGAAGCCCAATCACACGCAATCCCTCACCCATGGTAGCTATTCACACTACTGAAACAAAAATTTACATTATATAATAGTAATTTAATTATTATTATTATATAACAGTTAAATTTTGAATGATTTTTGATTCTTTTGAATTATATTTTGTTCTTTAAGCCGTTTGATGAGATTCGTAGCTGGATCGAAAACATTTACGGTAGCTATTCACATCCCACAGCATCGTTTCTAGATTCTTATGACATGTATATCGATCGAGTACGTCAGAAGCCGCACACTCCGCCAATGTGTCGTCAAGAATGCAATATAAATTCCCGATCGGATACGAAAAATATCAACACCGTTATATGCGAACAGACGAACTCTAGGTTAAAACAATATTTAAAAATACTATGTCATTTTTCTGGAGAACGATCCAAGTTTTATTATTTATTTTTATTTCAGCTTTTAAATTGTCCACGTTGCTCTTTTAAACCAGAAAAGAACCCGTTATTTTAAAGTTTTTCAAATGCAATTTACGTATCTTCATTCGTTGATATTAAATGCAGATTAAATCAGAAAAGGAATATCCATTAAAGAGACTAAAGGGAGTAAAAGAACTAAAGCGAGTAAACGGATTTCTGTATTACATAGAAAAATAAATAAGGATAAAATTAAGTTTTCATGGACTCCTTTTCCAAAAAGTGTTACTCTTATGTTTGAGTGAGTAATATCTATTTGACAAGTAAAAACGAACGTTACGTTCTCTTGCTTTACAGTACTATGACTCAATGAGATATGATTCAGTGCATCTTTATTTTTTCTCGTTCTCCTGCTGCGTGCATTTGTACAGCGGCAATCATAGTCATGAGATGCATAATGAATATATAGGATTTTGTGCGCACTTTACTGACGTACTTTTGGTGATAAAAAATAGTGCGAGCGGCATAAAAGTATTTTAAAGGACGTTCCGTTGGTGAATGCAGTTATTGAATAGAACGCAAACATTGAGTCATATATAAATGATAGCCGATCTTAGTATTTCATGGCTTGTTAGAGCCTGTTTTATAACATTCTTTTTTCAAAGCATATATATATGAGTGCAACGTCCATGGATTCATGACCTACTTTATGCGTTTGATCATGTTTTGAGTTCATTACACATCGATAAGCTATCATAGGATTATATCAAGATATTTATGTAACATTTTAGTAGGTAAGGAAAGTTAACAACAAATGGGATTTTTTTCTCGTTGATATTCGCTCAGATAATTGGGACATGCATCTAAAGGAAAATTAATTTTTTCAGGAGTATATATAATATCCTCAGCATGGATAAGAAAACTGATAACTCTGATCAATTTTACTACTACATTTCCAACAAAGAATTCTATTTCTGATTGTTTTTACACAAACAAAGATATGCATTTTCATTAGTTATTTTAGTAGGAGATGAGATGACGAACAAGCACAATAAATTTTAAACTTTCGTATTTTTTTTCGACGTGAAATTAATTGAGTATATCTTCCGTTTCTAATTTGAGATTTCTCAATATATTTCAATTTCGAAACCAAATTCTGCAGTGCATAACACATCTGTATGTGTATAGATAAAATTGCAGATTTATTGTACCGTTTCGAGAAAAAAAAGGAAAAAACTTTTTGATTTTAAAGACTGTAACTGGAGCATTGTAGCGTACTACATGAGAGAAGAATATGAATAAAGTTTCCCGACTGCCACTATTGAACTGATCGAGATACGACCGTTAGCTGTTTTCTGCAAGTTTATTAACCTGTTGAAACACATTATAGTTAGTTTACACGCGTCTTGATGGTCATTTAAACATGAAATCAAGTAATATGTAATGCATTCACTTTAATTTTCGTTGCGAAGTGGTGATATGCATAAAAATTTCATCTAACTGTTTTCCAAAAAATCTCGCGTTTATGCGAAATTGATACGTGTATTTTCTCAGACTTCAATGAGCGTGGTACCGGAACTGGGTAAGTTAAGTCAGACTTGACTTGGGAAAAGGTTTTACCGATCTTCTGACTACCTACTAATTTTGTCTGTCTCTTAAAAAAGTTATTTTAAAAATGCATTTTTTTAATACAGGGAAATGATATTAAAGATCTAAGTAAAGTTATTTTCCATGCAGAGCTGGGCAAGTCAAGACAAAAATGCCTCTATTCCAAGTCAAGTCAGACTTCGCTGACTTGAAGAATCTTTTCGTTGACTGGGACTTGAAAAAATGCTGACCTGTCCCGAATACGACACACATTGAGAGAGAGAGAGATGAATTATGGTTGGAAGAGAGTGAAAGTGATTAGCTAGTGGGAGAATAGGTCATTATGCGTTACACTCGGAGTCATTGTGCTCGATTGTGCATCAAATTTAGATCAGTTGCAAATAAAAAAGAAGCAACTCTATTTCTTTTTTCTACACTCAGCTTCTTAGAAACTTGCCAGCGTGGCTATTTAACCGAATTTCTATAACTTAATACGCTCAGTTGATAGAGCCAGCCAACCAGACATCAAATAGCCCATCATACTAAATTCTTATTCACATGTGAAGAGTGAATTATGAGAGATCAGTAAATAATAAAACTTGAAGTATTAACAAATAAGGCTCAAACGCTAATTTTGCATATTTTCAATGACTCAGCACTGCAGTCTAGATATTCTGGCTCACTCAGTTTGTACAGACTTTCAAGGACTATCCACCAGTATATTTTTGAAAAATATATAACTTTTCATTAGGACAAGATACGGCTAAAGTAGTTTGCTGCACGGCTTTTTCGTACTCTAACGCTTTTTTCATATGTCTTTGGTGACTGAACCGACCAGTCGAGACATTTTGACTAGCTCAGTCGGTAGCGAATTTGAAGAGCTATCGAACAGTATACTATACAGAAGTGTCTAATTTTTTCTTTTCTCACAAAATGTGACTAGAAGGGTGCTCTACTGGTGTTTTCGGCACTCGAACGCTTCCTTTGGATGTCTGTGGAGACTAGCCCAACCGATCAAGACATTCTGACTATCTGAGTTTGTCGTGAATTACAAGGGCTGTCGAATGGTATATGTATCGTCGTGGCTAGTGGATAAGTGTCGACCACAGAATCGTCAGCGTTGAATAAATCACCCACTTGCCACTCCTTTGCATAATAGAAGATCACTGCCAGTTATATGACTTGAAAACCAAATAGAAGACCATGATCTTCTAACTCCTAGAAGACCAGAAAAGATCCAAAATATTTTTCTACTTTTTCTTTTTCTTTCTCGTCTAGTTGAACTAACTAGACGAGAAAGAAAAAGAAAAAGTAGAAAAATAGAGAAATCACAACCAGAAAATTCCTTGTAGAAAAATCTCTGTATATATTTGTCTCTCTTCTCTCTCAAAAGTCATTCGCCTAATGATGATACTGTGATAGTGTCGAAAGCTCGCTGTTTGTATGTAAAATGAGTTTACTTAAATTCTTTTCTATAATTTTGAATATACTACGTTTCATTAAAAACGTAGAAAAGTCAAAAAGCATCAATATATATGAAATTGTAGTGCGAGAAATTCTCTATCGAATGGTATATGTATCGTCGTGGCTAGTGGATAAGTGTCGACCACAGGATCGTCATGGTTAGAGAAAGAAGAGTAGAACTTTGTTTACAATAAATGCGACCTGGTTTTTTTTAAGAGCAACTCTAAGGTCTGCCGAGTGGCTAGGAATGTTCTCCTATTCATTCTGCATGTGAGCATGTCTGTGTCGGTAGAGTTCAAGCAGGGGCCGATTCCATCAAATAATCGCCCCCGTCCTTACTTTATTTTTGAGTTAAATGTTATGCACTATAGAGTAAAGTGTCCTCGACAAAATAAGACCACTTCCAGCTTTCTAAGGCCTTCCGCTGAGCAGATACGAATTTTTCAAAGTTTCTTACATTAGGCTGAGAAAACCTTATTCTTTTACTTTCGAAACTTTTTTCACATCCATCTCTACCATGTTTTATAATACAGAGTTATGATCATTTTGGGCGTTATATCGTAAATGTGACTTTTCAAAGACAACCGGTAAAATGGTCATAACTCTCTATTATAAAACATGGTAGAGAGCTGGGAGACATCTCATTTTGTAGAGAAATTATTACTCTACGAGACTAACTGTTTCAAAAGTTCATCAACTACTGAATGGATGTGAAAAAAAGTTTCGAAAGTAAAAGAATAAGGTTTTCTCAGCCTAATGTAAGAAACTTTGAAAAATTCGTATCTGCTCAGCAGAAGGCCTTGGAAAGCTGGAAGTGGTCTTATTTTGTCGAGGACACTTTACTCTATGGTGCACAACCTTTAACTCAAAAATAAAAAAAATTCTGAAAGAGTTTAAAAAAAGAAGGGTTTAGGTTTCGCTCACGGTACGCAACAGAATTTGATAATATATACACCGTTGAATAGAGGAAGTCTTCTTCTACAAACCTACATATATCGCGTTCTGTAGTCAAAAATCACCCTAAAACTTGTAGTCGCCTTTCTACTAAACCTTCAATGCTCCGAAACCATTTTACCGGTTTCGTATACTCTGCAAAAAAACCTTGTAGAAAAAAATTTTGTTTCGAGGTTTTGTGACATTGAATTTCGAAATTTCACTACAAAACCAGTAAAAGTTTTGAAAAGATACACGAAACCTTAATGTATGGAGCCTTTTTTTTAGAGAGTACCTCAATATACATTGAGTACAAATGTGATTTATCTAGGTGCAAAACTTTGCATGAAGAAACTGAAGTCTTGATGAGTCACTGAATATTTTTTCTTTTCTTTTCTTTTCGTTTTTTATATGACTGCATTTGCTAGCTGTCAAATAAGGTAAATTACGGCTTGTAACGTAGATATTAAAAAAAGACAAAGAACAGAAATTAAAAGAAGTTTGTGTGTGATGTGTGGTCGTATAAAAACAGAAAATGACAGTTACAATATATACGTGATTTTTTCAGATAGCGCGATTCAACAGAAAGAAAAGTCGGTTTTTTTGATAGTTGGAGAAGAATGAGAGATATAAGTTTATCGTTATTATGTCTATTTTTTTTCAGATTCTTGAAAAATAAACAAATTATGGAAGCACATAGAGAAGATTTAACGAATATTGACTTTGATAACAATTGGAAATGTTATTGTCAACTTGCGAGTGAAGAAATCAATGAAGAAAATATGACCACAGCTGCATATAATATAGATACCAACCATCGTTGGTTCTCAATAGACTTACCACATATTATCGATATGAATAAATCACGTAAATTTAAAGAAACAACTTTATACAAATGGTGGTATCGTAAACGATTCGACTGGGCATCCTTAGATAAACAAATGCAACAACAAATTCATCTTAGTTTTGAACCGTATGATGACCTAAACGACAGTTCTGTTTCAACGGATATTACTGCCATCATATGGCTCAATAATACACAAATATTTTCTGGTTTATTTATGGCATTAACCAGTCCTATTGAGGTGTCTTCAGAATTATTACATTGTGAAAATATTGACGAACAAAAGCATAATAATATTATGGTTATTTGCTGTTCAAATTCTACACTTTCTCTTCATGCACGTCTTACGTTACATGGCAAAATAATTTGTGCAACAGGGCAAGTGAACGTAAATGAAGAATCTGTAACCAAAGATAGTACTTCGGAACAAAAACAGAATGAAATTTTAGATTATACGATTGGTCTTGATGATACTAGTGGACGTATTGATGTCATGTTTAAATCAAAAAAGAAACACAAAGCACCTTTAAAACCAATCACATCATCACCAAACTTCGTCAGATATGACAGGAATGAAAAACAAATAGATGAAAATAAAGAAGAGCTAAACGATGATCTTCTTATACCTCGTTTAGCTATTGTGATACTCATCGTTGGTACAAGAGGAGATGTACAACCATTTATTGCGTAAGTGAAAGAAACTTCTTTAAAATTTGAAATATTATATTTGATATCTTTTAGTCTCGGTCAGGCACTACGAGCAAATGGTCATCGTGTTCGATTAGCAACCCATGAAGTGTTTCGATCATTTGTTCGTGGTAATGGCCTCGAATTTTATCCATTAGATGGTGATCCAGTTGATTTAATTTCATTTATGGTAAAAAATGCTGGTATTATTCCATCAATGGATAGTATTATCGCAGGAGATGTTGGCAAAAAACGTCGATTTTTATCCGATATTCTTGCTTCTACATGGCAAGCATGTATAGCAAATGATGATGAAACAGATATGCCATTTACAGCTGAAGCAATTATTGCTAATCCACCATCATTTGGACATGTTCATTGTGCAGAAAAATTACAAATTCCTTTGCATATCATGTTCACTATGCCCTGGACACCTTCAACAGCTTTTCCGCATCCATTATCGAACATTGATAATTCAACAGGGTCAAGAAAACTAATTAATCGATATTCGTACGATGTTATTGAAATGCTGGTACACTAAAAGAAAAACACAAAAGAAAAATTTGTTTTGAATTAATTTTTTTCTAGACATGGACAGGTCTGAGAGATATTATTAATAACTTTCGCAAGAAAATATTGGGTCTTTCAACTATAAATACCAGTCAGGCAATAAACTTATTAAATGATGAACGAGTACCACACACTTACTGTTGGTCGCCATCACTTGTTTCCAAACCTGATGATTGGGGAGTACACATCAATGTTTCTGGCTTTTTCTTTTTGGATCTTGGTATTGCTTACACGAATCCACCCCGAGATTTGCTCGATTTTCTTCAGCTCAATGATGACAACCATAACGAGTCGAAATTGCCACCACCCATTTATATCGGTTTTGGTTCTATTGCAGGACATGATTCTAGTCGTATTCTTACCATTGTTACCGATGCATTTAACCAAACTGGATATCGAGCTGTTCTATCTGGTCTTGCTTCTGATACTGATCATTTACCGTCCAATATATTTAAAATTGGAAATGTACCACATGATTGGCTTTTCCAACACGGTGAGTTACGTTTTTCATCATGGGTAAATGGATGAAAAATATAAACATTTTCCTCTTTGTTCTTTTTTCAGTATCAGCTGTATGTCATCATGGTGGTGCAGGGACAACTGCAGCTGGCCTACGTGCTGGTAAACCAACAATTATTGTCCCGTTCTTTGGAGATCAATTTTTCTGGGGTACTGTAATTGCGAAGAGTGGCGCTGGTCCTCAACCAATTCCTGGAAAGTCGATCACTACAGAACAGCTAATTGAAGCATTTCATTTTGTTCATAAGCCAACAACACGTGCTGCTGCTGAATGTCTTCGTGATTTTATTCTGCAAGAAGATGGATGTACAGCAGCAGTACGTGCATTTCATGCTAATCTACCGTTGACCCGTATGTATAGCGATTTGGAACCAACGTTTGCTGCCTGTTATCGTTCAGATAAATATCGTATACAAATATCACGACCAGTAGCTCAAGTATTAGTATCAGCGGGCCTTCTAGAAGAAGCTCAACTTCGTCCACATCTTACACGAGAATGGCAATTCAAACATGATAATCATATGCATGTAATCATGCACGGTTTATTCGATCATTCTCAGAAAGCTTTTTCAAAAATGTTTATTAATACTGCGTCAGAGTTGAGACGCGGGGCCAGCAATGAGAACTTAAGCAAGAGAGCGCTTGAAGGTGCTGGAACTGTTGCCAAAGGTATTGGCTTAGGTATGGGTCACTTAACAATTGGATGCTTTTTATTGTATGGTGAATTGACCGATATACTTTATCGTTTGCCTTATTTATATGATCCATATACGTAAGATGGTTTAGTTATATTTTACCGAACGATTTTTCTTTTTAATCATTGAAACATTATTTCATTTCAGTGACTCAAAAGCACGTCCACGACCAGTAGTCATCGATTTTAAGTCTGGTGCGAAGGCAGCTGGTTTAATCTTATGGAATGGTTGGAAAGATGGTGTCACGGGTTTGATAAAGCAGCCACGAGCTGGTTATAAACGTCATGGTATACTCGGTGGTGCAGCAGGATCATTAATAGCAACAGTGAATATTTGGATGAAACCTGGTATTAGCACTCTTTCATCTATCACCTGGTTAGGTCGCGGTCTTCATGCTAGTGTAAGAAATGTTTTAGAAAAGTACAAAAAAGAAGGAAGACGTCTATCACCAAAACTTTTCGATGTCACTTCGTCGTTATCAACTGCAAGTAATGAAGAAATACAGAATGAAAATGATCGGGAAGTTTCGTCGGCTGCCAAAATTGCTGCGAACATTTCAGGTTTTCATCCAAAAGTATGCCAAAATATTATTGATGAATTTGAGAAAATTAAAGCAGAACATGAACGACATATGGGTTCTGCATCAACAAAAAAGAAATATCCAGTAGTATACATTTCTAATAACAACAAAAGTAAACGATCTTCATCATTGGATATACGTGCCAATTCGTAATGACCAGTCAGAGATTGAAATGAACTATTTTTGTTTATGTCCCAAAGTGAAAAGTGTTGTATAATTCTAGTGAACCAAAGATGATTAAATATTCAATGGAGTGTATTATTTGAAATCAACTCATTTCAAATTAATAGCTTGGTCATGTTGCTAGAAAATAATCGAGAACGAAGAGCGAAGCTCCACGATTACCTCAAAAAAAAGTTTAAGTCAAAGTGAAGTAGATCTTACCTGTAGTGTCACTTTTGCTGATTAATCACTACGATGTATAAAGGGTGGCCCAGAAGTCCTGACTCGATTTTTATAATTAACTTTTTTACATTAAAACATATACTTAAAAATTTGTCTTTATGACAAATTTTTAAGTATGCATTGAATGAATATTTGAGTATATGTTTTAATGTAAGAAAGTTAATTATAAAAATCGAGTCAGGACTTCTGGGCTACCCTTTAGTGATAACAACACTTAGTAATCCATCACTGAATGGTTTACTTGTTCATAAGAAACCTTCTCGATCTTTATTGGCTAAAATGGAACCACCACCAGTATTATCGGCAGCAGAAAATGAACAACAAAAACAAGAACAACGAATAGTTTCTGCTGCTGTCTTAGAAACACATTTTATCTATCTAAAGACGTTTTCTTATTTGTTTATTTATTTTTTGCATTGTAAAACACTTTTCCAACACATAAAAACACACTAATGATTATAATATATATAACTGATTAAATACGTGTGTATTCATGTATGTTTTATATATTTTTTTTTAAACAGTTTTCCTTTTATTCACGAAATAATGGTAAAAATAACATAAAAAAAAATAAACATACAACTACCAGAGAAAAACACTTATTCGGCAGTTCGGGATATCCCATTGTATGCCGAATTCTAGATGAACATGCTGAAACAAAATGAGTATATAGAAAAGAGAGATTATACTAGTGTTGGTGAAGAGAGAGAGAGAATTGGAAATCGAATTTTGAGATTCGCTATATCCATGTGACGTCCTGCTCATAAAGGTTTAGTACATTATGACTGATTAAATCTTCTAGTAGTATCAATAAATTGGAGAATGGCTGTATACATTCCTGTCAAGTCCTGCTTAGCCAGTGCTCGGATAGAATCATGTTTCAAAAGTATGTGATTGTGACGTAATGCGATTAACATTAAGAACAATACGCAGCTGCTCAAACATAAAATTACGAGACTTATCGTAAATAGCATAGTCCATGAAAAAATGTTTAGTAGCCTCTCTATTAAAGCCACATGCACACGCTGGTGACATTTCTAATCCACCTCTAGTAAAGAGATAGTCATTTAGTTGGGGGTTATCAACTCTACACCGCGTATGATGTATCTCCAACCACCGATCACGCATTAACGGTAAACGAAAGGACGAAATATATTACAAGACTAATCTGAGTAAAATCAGTCAGTTTATGTATTGAACGTATATCGTTAGGTAGAAGATTCCATGCACAAATACCATTCCGAATAAAGAATTTCTCCAAAAACGCCCGACCTCTTAAATTCAAGGAGATGTCTCCTCGACTGAAACTTCGAGTTTGATAAACCTGGGGTCCTGGCATAGGAAAAAGTTCAATAAGATAAGTAGCAGTTTTACTATGCATAATTTTATGAAACAAACACATGCGTCGAACGTAAATAAGCTCATTAATTGATAACCATCCTAGGTCTTTAAGAAGTTTCACATGTGACGTGCTCCTCATGGCCCCAGAGACAGCTAAAGCTGCCTGTTTTAAATTTCATTTAACAGATATTTAAAACATTAGATATATCTAGTCGACAGACTTCATCTCAACGAAAACGATCAGCCAAATGACTTCTTGACGACGTCTTACTAAAGAAGTTGGTACAAATAAGAGTTGTGGTTAGACAACTCGTGGATGATAGTGAAGACGAAGATTTAACACCAACTCAAGTATCCAACGAAGTGGCTAGTTGCTCATCTTCGACAGTACTAAAAAGATTCGAAGAAATAAAGAAGGAAGTGGATACATCACCTGCTCCAACTCTTTTAAGTGAATCATTTACTACTCGAGAAGATCAATAGAGTCAACGATCAGAATAAATAAGATGTTTGATTCATAGATTTGATTCTCATTATAATTCTAATTGCCTGTCTTTGTGCGTACAGGATCTTCCGTTTGTAAGTGCAAATAGTCAATTTTTCTATTCGCCAATTTACCGACGTTATTTTGGTTTAACACCACCGAATCCTCGATTATGTAATCCACGATTACTTGAGGATTATATTGATTGGTATATAAATGTTTATATGGAAGAGGAACTTCCATGACAATGGATAAGATATAAGAATTTTAACACTGAACATATTATAATTTGTTATCTAGGGGTTAGTGTTGGTAATCCAACAGAAAGAGCCGAATAAGATGAAGAAGAAGCAAAGGCAAAAGCCACAATATTAGCTTCCGCGTCATCAACTTCACCAGAGTAACAGCAGATTAAGATGGCAACCAAATGCCGAATCATTGAAAAACTTGTTTTCTTTTTATTGATTTGTATCTGTTTGGTTTGTTTTTAACTAATAAAAAGAAAGAAAAAAAGTCAACTGTTTTTCTAATTACTTCGACTGTGATAAGGAGCAGAGTGTGAATAGATGAGAAATAATAAAACGATTGGGATTAGGGGTAAATGAATTAGAAGTACATGCTGAAAGACATTCTCAAGATTCGAAGATAGCATATCTATGAAAACAAGCAATAATAATATTTGATCAATTACATTTACTAAACCATACAAAGTCAAGTTGGTCTATGTGGCTAACGTCACACTGAACCCTATATCGTTAATGTCATCGTTACGTTTGTCGTTTTCAATTCCATCGCAGATTTTAATTCCTTTGTATTTTTTAAACATTTTCAAATTTTTCTTCTGATTTTTACGCTCCTAAATGTTTTATTCCTATTTAATTTTTCTTAAGTATTGTTCCATTTTAAGTTTACGCTTACTAGTTCTCTAGCAGAGTGTCCTGAATTTCTATTTTGTTTGTTAAAATAGAAATTAACTCTACATTCTATTTTATTTTTACTTTTTAAAAAGCACATTATTTTATCATTTACTTACGACAAAAGATCGTTGCTGAGAAGCAAGAGTTGAGACTAGCAGATAGAACTTATCTTTTCTTCAAAAAAATAGGCTTAGTCTGTTTTTAATTGATTTACCTTATACAACGAACATTTCATCAATAATGTCTAACTGATACAATACGTGGAACAAACTACTGACACAACTCTAAATTACAAAAAATCATATATAAAACACTCACACCGTAGTTTTATTCTTTGAATTATTTTGATAACAGTCGATAGCAGATTGAAATTGTCTTTTCTTCAGAAGATAGGGCTAGTCTGTTTTTATTTGATTCACCCAGATCCAGATGTGAAAAGTTCTGCTGAAGTCTTGGCTATTGAACAGCGAAAATCGCAGGTCTCTATCTCATTCCTATCAAAAGTTATTCAAAAAGTTTATTCAACCCGGCACTGTATTTTGGTATGGATAGTAGTTCATTGAAACATTCACATTCGTTCTCCTAAACATTGCTCCCTACATACAATCATATTATTTTACTTTAAAAAACTATCATAATAAAATCATTTAGTCATTTCCTCTTAATTCTAGAACCGTTCAATCGATTCTTCGATACACAACTCCTTTATTAATTTAATTATTCCTCCACTAACCTTCCTTGTTACAAACACTAATCATTATCCAACTCATTTTTACAATTGAATATCTTTGCAACTTTATACGGATATTAAAAACCACCCGATGTTTCTCGTAATAGAGATGAAATCCGGCTTGTGGTAGTTATTTTGTTCAAACTCATCATTTGAATAATAGACTATCTGCTGCTTTTGAATTTTATTGGAATTAACATTCAATTAAGGAATTAACATTTTGACCTTCTTTTTGGTATAATTTCAATTTAATTTAATTTATGCAATTGAACCGCCTGATAAGGCTTTGAAACTAAACTGAAACGTGTTGTGGTAGTTATTTTGTTCAAACTCACCTCATCCAACTAAGTAGTTAATAAATTCTCTTATAGCCTTAGTAGAGACGCATACTTTTACTAATATTTTCAATGAGTCTGTTCATTTTCTTAGAAAACTTAATAAACAGTTTTTTCTCGAATACAAATATGAATAGTTGGTATCATCAAAGGAAAATGTGAAATCTACTAGTATTACAGTAATTTAATTCACTTATTCATACTGATTCTGTTTCAAATAGATTTTAAGTATTTTGTACTGATTTTTGTATGATCATTATACTGATACTAGTCACTTGATAATCACTATAAAATAATGTGAAAAACATTTCTTTTGTGGTAATTTGTCTCATCCTCACTCAATAAATTTCAACAGTAATCTTTCAGTATAGATTAGTGTGTGCGTCAAACGAAAGAAGAAATCATTTTATTTTCGTTATATGAAATCGCAGTCCAGTAAAATAAACGTACTATCTATGCACTATTACGAGTTAAGAGTTAGAACAGTTCAGATATTCGTTCAATGGAAGAAACTGTCCTGCTAAAAATTCTTATCATACCAACGATCTGCTAGAGTATATAAATTTAAAAAAAGACAAATTCACTGTAGTGTATAGTTTTCGAAGCAAATGTAATTCTCGAAGCACTGCGTTTCAGGATTGATAAGACTCAAAATATCGGCCGAGGAGAGTTCTCTGGAGAACAATCGGAATTCATCCATTGATCCATAGTATTGTCCCATGGTAATGACACCCGAAGAGCAAACTCCACCACTACTGGGGGACGCACCCAGAGTTACGGTTACTGGGGCGTCAGCGGTAGAGGAAGTAAAGATGGTGGACGATGTGCCATATACAGTTTCATTTATCCACAATCGAAGTTGATTGGATTGTGCATAGGCGACTGTCAAATGAGTCCACATACCAGTAGCAACGACAGGTTCAGTTATCGAGACCGCATTGCTCGTTGTACAATCCTGTACTCCTACATTACCCGCACTTGTGAAGCCCAACATCGACATAGACCACGAAGTATCATTTGTATCTGAGGAAACATGAATAATCGTTCCATTTGTGATCATCGTTGGTCGGATCCAGACAGCCACAGAGTATGGATAATCTTTTGTATCCAAATAGACAAGACCTGTAACTTGAACGTACGATGGATCCACCAATAAATCTAAGCCTTGATCAATTCGACCAAAGGCTGTAAATTGAAAATTTGTACCTGCTCCGTTTATACCCAGTGGACCGTTATCGAGAAGATTATTAGCGGATGTATATGATACTGTGAGTACTTCTGAAGCACCGGAAATCCGAAATAGCGAGATTTATGAGCAAAACAACAACAATTTTAGGTTACTTTTTGGCCCGAGAAAAGTAGGAAATTTGATCGATACAGCCATCTCAATGGTTGTCCGGAGTACATACAACGTTAGTACCAATAGTCAAATCACCACTATCGCCTTTGTATGAACCTTTATTAGAATTTGATTTGTCAAGCTTCCCATTAATATAGACAAATTGAGTTCGTGTTGGATAATCATATATATACACCATCTACAAACAGTCATAAGAAATCATCTTTCATCACACAAAAAAGTACCATTTTACGTGATACCAAATGGTAGGTTGAAGAATCACACTGCCTTGAGTATCATCACCATAAAAGTCCAGATAGATCATTTTAGAACGCACTATGATATGAAGTGAACAGTCGGTTGAGGCCTGATCGAATTGGTCAAACACAGCATTATCTCCACACAAACCTCCAGTTCGAAACGAGTTTGCTATGATCCATGCACTCAGAGAAAAGGATGTGTAAGCCATGTTCAGAAATGGTGGTGAGTGAATAGTGATTAATTGTTTGACCGAACTGTTCAAATAGACGCATGATCCGTAGCTATTGATACCCGGAGATCTGTAGGTAGGACTATTGATGCCAACACCCGGAAAGTTACCATAAAAGTCTTCGAGAGGGTTGTCGAACGTCCACAAGATTCGCACGGCTGCATTTCAGTTAAATACAAGTGATCTTTCCTTGTCGCTTTCTCGGTTACGTATTCAACTACTCACATGTTTGACGCTGTGATCCTGTCCAAGCGTTCAGTATACACAGGCACGTCATGTTATTGTTCTTGGAGATGCGCGTGCCACCATTCAAACAAACGGGATTGCAAACAGCTGAAAAAAGAGCAAAATGAATCGGTTTGATCATGAGTTTATCACGAAGCTTTCAGGAAATAGATTAGACGAAACCATTTGAAACAAGTAAGCGTCTATATATCGGTCTTTCAAGTTTTACTATATTTTAAAACTATAACATACTATTTTCGAAGAAGTTAAACCGACAAATTTTGGCCTGAAATATTTGCGTGACAATAAACGCAGTTGTTTTTAGAACCCGAAGTTTTGAAGTGTGCTTCTTATGTATATTCATCAGCAAAAAATAGTGAGGTGAGAGCACCCACCGTTCCGGAAAAATAGCTTAAATTTAAGTGATCTCTAATTGTTGAATATTAATGTTAACTTTACAGAAACGCGTCACTTCTACTAATAGTTTTAGTCTTAACACATGGATGCGGCCGTTCAGTCACGAGATGTGCTATAAAAAGTTAATTTTCTTTTATTGTTTTCACATATTACACCCAATTGCTCTTGTTATCTAAGCATTCGATATAGGTACAGGTTTAATTATAACTGTTAATTTAGGGTTCGCGAGAGCACCTATCAACTTTGTATTAAGCCAGCCACCGATAAAATTTTGATTTCCAATTTAATTATCTAAAACGATAGACTATCATTAGGTGTCTCTACATCCAAAACATTAGATTTTTGTAACATTCTTGTGATAAACATCAGACCATACAACTTACACTACTCTTGAACCCTAGTCGAAAAATCGGGTCCTTAGAGTGCTACCAGTATTCTAAGACTTTCTCTGTGTTAGCTCATTCGTTCGAGTTCGGAGACATCTCAAGCGATACAGAAATGGTTTCTCTACATAACTGGGTAACTTATTAGCCTCTACAAACCTTTTATTAATTGATAATATTACTGGACGGTAAGATGGACTGCTGACTAACATGAAGATTTGTGGTATTTTGTCTCTGAATACACTAAACGGTTCTGCCCTAAAAAACAAATTATATTTTCTGAAAGTGCTTGAAATTGTGCATCGTCTGATGTATAACACAAACAATTAAAACTCTGGTAGAAAAAATTAGTTAGTAGCATAATGTAACCAAGTAATGGTCACTTATATCCATGCTGACTCCTAATCGGTCATTATATGTTTTATGCGCATCTAAATTTAAAATATGACATTAGATTCATAATCATCATAAAAAATTGAGTATAAAAATGTTATTTGATCAAATGTAAAGCTAGTAAAGTTAAGAAAACTTTGTCTGATACACGTAGCTTAAGTATACCTCAAAGCGTATATTCATAGGCATCCTTGTAACCTCATATAGGTTTTCATGACAAGATATGAGACAAAAAATGTCTCATGTTCATTAGAATGACTGAATTCAAAGCTTCAAAAGTACTTACTCAGAGTTTTTAAATTTCTTTTGTTATTAGGAAAACTGAGCTTTTCTGAGGTATTAGTGATAAAGCCATAAAAACTAGCTAAAATTATGTTCATATTTAGTAGTTTTGATTAGCGTAACTAAATTTTGGAGCAAAATAAATAGCATATTTGCATTCAGCGCACAAAACTACATCGAATCAGATATATTCGCGCAAAATTTATTCTATAAAAAGGTCACCAGTGGTCCACTTCAGCCCTATTTTTCAAAAATTTTATCATGTTTGGGAACTTTCAAAACACATGGAACATAAGTTATTGATCACGGTGAATCTTTTAGCAATGTTTTTTTTCCGAGAAAGCTTCAAAAAGATAGTGAATTTCTATTTTACCACTATGAACTTCCATAATAGTTTACAAACAGTGCCATAAGATTCACCGTGATCAATAACCTATGTTCCATGTGTTTTGAAAGTTCCCAAACATGAAGTTTAGCCGATAGGTAGGTCCTGGGAAAATGCTCGGATATGGAATAAGAATTTGGAAATTGTGTAGTTTTAAAGAGGGCAGTCTGGAGGTTCGAATAAACCTGTCAGAATCCAAAATACATTATTTCTCTGGAAATGGGGAGCTTTCAGATTTTGTTCGACAAGGTGCACCATGCTAGACTTGATCGGAAGGCCTAATTTCCCCATAGATGTCTTTTTCAGTAGGTCTTCTATCAAATACTGGAAAACGCATAGTTCTAACTCTTTCTATTAAAAAATTATTCGAAAAATACTTTTTTCCATCCTATTTTGAAATGGGTAGTAGATCACTAAATTTTACGATTTTTCTCTGCTCTAACATCAAACATCACATAATTCATGAATTTATTATATTCCAAGAGTAATTTCGATGTCATATACTCAAATTCCATGAACGCTGTCAGGGAATGTACAGATTCCCCAGGGAATGTGCACATTCCCCGATTTCCTACATTCCCTGTAACATATATAAAAAATAAATCATACTTAATTTTTTCTTGCGTATTCTAGAACTACAAAAAGCATATTACTGCAGATAAAGTTATGAGATGATGGCATGACATTTTCACATCAGGATAAAATACATTATTAATTTTTGCACTGAAATCACTATCTATTGGAAAATTAGAACCTATATTTTCCCGTACGATCATCTATCTCGTTATCACTCCGTAAAAAATAATTGTTGCTCATTATTCAGCTAATTTTCAGCTAATTTTTCGTACTCTCTAGTGACGATGGGATATATGAATCATTTCTAAGATATGTATATCACACTAATTTCCATAAGCGTTATGACTTTAGCAGATTACGAACAATATCTATGTAATAAGACAGAGATGGGGATGCGATGGTTGAGAGTGAGGGTAAAATGCAGGAGTCTGGCATGATTTACATCAATCATTATTACATTAAGAGGTGATAAAGCGCCTTAACGAAAGCTGTAGATATTGTAGAACCGGATCTTTGTAAAATGCGCTCTAACCAATTCCAATTCATTAGAATAGCGAGCCGTCTCTCTCTCATAATCGTGTGTGCCAAATACTATCCATCATCATTGATGTGTTCTAAAGATAAGATCGCGGAGCCTTCTTTTATATAATCACGGTTAAGAAAAACAGTCAATCTGCTGGTATGACGATTCCAATGGATTGCTAGTTCTAAATATGCTGAATATAACAGCAAAAGCTAAAAAAACGGGACTTTGAAAACCTATCTACTTTTTTGTGGAGGGTCGTGGAGCCTGAACTCACACAGCGTTAGATTCCCTGAGTGTTCCTCTTCAAAACAACAAAGAGCTTTTTCCGAAATTCCTTTTCCTCGCTGAGAAAAAGCGACTTTACTGGGAGAAATCGAAATTCTCATCCTAATTCACAATTTTCTCCATCAGAACTCAACTTTCACGCAACGAAAATATCCTATTCGGAATCAGCGTCAATAATCGAGTCGAATGATAAATATTTGAAAAAATTTCGTTCGTTTTTGATGAAAATCTTAGTAATTCTTCGACGTGAAAATTGACAAAAGCTTAAAGCGCTCGAATAGGAAAAAAAGTGCATCATTCGACTCTATTATTGTCCTGTACGAATGTCTAACAAGAATTCTTATCTTATATATTTTGACTGACTTAAATATTTTCTAGACTCGTGCGTGGCTATTGTGCATTAGTTTTACAGTGCCTTTTTTGTCAATGTTGGGACCTTGTGGAAAACAAACTCATGTGCGGTCACATGACATTCCAAAGTGGTGCACTTCGAAATATTTATGATATAAGAAGATTGTATGATCATTGTCAGTGGTATTTAGAAGTAACAGACAATATTGGAGCCTTACTAACATCACCATTGGGAGCAAGTCCAGTGTTAGGAGCTCTGATGGAACCTCTGAATCGTTCTTTAAATCATCAAGCCGTAATCAAAACGCATGGAGTTTTCAACAAATGGTTGGAGATCTATTTCAGTTAACTTACATTTGAGTAAATCATTAACTGGTTCGAATTGGTCGCGTGATCGTTTAGATGCACATCAAATTGAATATGTCTGTTATGATGTTTTATCATGTAAGTTTTCACATATTATGGAGTGTTATTTATTGAAAATATTGCGGGTCGCATTTATAAGGCTTCTAGACATGTGCCAACATAATATTTGTACTTTGTAGTATTTGATATTTACGACAAATTAAGTGATAATTTCTCGAATAATAATGAATTATCCACAATTTATTTTATTCATCTACATTTCGAAAGATGCCATTTGTGTGATACACATTATACAAATTTAAAGTCGTTTAATTATAACATACAACATAATCATCAACGAGATTTTCTAAATCACGGATGGACAAGGACAGCAGGAACAACAATGTGGAGATAATGAAAATAATATCGGCTATAGGTGCCAACTATCAGACGTTAAAATTTCAAATTATTCATGGAAAGATAGTTTTGAAAGTGAGGTATGTTGCAAAGACGAAAAATCTTTTAAGTAGAAGATACAACCATCGTTATAATATTTTTAGAAATTTATGAGAGAAGATAATCAAGATACACCAGTTGAAGAAATAGAGAAAAGAATATCAGAACGACATTTTAGTACAGCAACAATAACACAACCTATCCACGAATT